ACTGCACCCTAACCACTGCGCCACACCTTCCACTCCCCAGATTTATCTCCTGGGGGAGGTTAGTGGAGCACTTCCCAAGCTCAGCTGCTCACCCCTCCTTCTTTGCCCGAAGAAGAGGTAATCAATCTGTCAAACAGCTGATAGATGCTGTTTAGACAGCTTAACGCAGTCACAGGGCTGGAGCTCCTGAAAAAAGCAGCTCTTCAGACGCCTTGCCCAAACCAGAAGTCCGTCATGTTTTCTTCTAATGCTGTATATCAATTACATGTCTCTTAGTCCAAATGTTTGTATGATACTTTATGTAAAAATGAATTCTGAATATGGAAAGAATTACTGTACCACAAAAATATAAAGGCTACAGTTCCAATCATAATTAGTTTAGTCTATTATCAGACAATGTATGGTGTAATCTGTATATAATGTCTCTTTGTGGTAATATTCGAATTTTAATTTCTCCTGTAAAATGGAGATTTGATTATCTACATACATAGATGTCCCTGTAGTCTGAATCAGCAGTGTTATGGAAACGGCAGAAACTGAGTGAGAAGTAGCAAGCAAAGTAAACTAAAAGAAATAGATAAGAGAACAGATATAACTGAATCAACTTATGCCTTTACCATACCTACTTCCTCATATCCTTCCATCCTTGCAAGTATTCTTCCTGCTGTGTTCATATGTTAATTTATACTCTCCTTTTTCTTTTTTTTAAAGTTCTTGCCTCTGTCTTTTTGAAGATTTTAGCAAGTCCATCCAATCACAACTTACTTGGTTTTTCTTTTCCTCTTAGCTTGTTCATTCTTCCTTCATATGTTTAATTTGCAGTTTCACTCTCATTCATTATTTCTCTGTGACCATTAGAAGATTTACCTAATAAGTCATATAGCTAGCTAATAGTCGATATTTATACGGGTTGATACAGGTATTTTACTGTACATAGTAATTATTTAAGAAATTATTGCCATCTTATTCATATTTCCAGAAATATAAAGACAGGAAAAATGAATTTCCTTAAAGGAAATATATTAAATATATTAAAAAAGATTTTACTTAATCTTGGTTATAAAAAGAATAGATTGAGACCATATTTTTAAGAGATCAAGAAATAATGTGTTATCTTTTATTTAGGAAACCAAAAGACATAAGAAGACTTTAAAGAAAACTCGGAAATTCATTATTGATGGTGTAGAAGTAAGTGTGACTACTTCAAAAATAGTCACTGACAGTGATTCTAAAAGTGAAGAACTTCGGTATCTTCGGTGAGTTTTAAAATATCCATTTCAAATGAGAAATAATCCTTATCTCTAATACATATCACATATGGACTCACAGATACAGAAATATGCACGTACAATATACAGTGGACTGTATTAGACTGTAAGAAACAATTTGCATTGTCTCAAGTCTTATAAAATTCAGTAGTTCAATTCCACTCCTCGTATTGGTCATATTATTTCAGAATTCTAATTTCACTTTGGTTACTGATGACTCTAAAATTACTTCCCTCTTCCTTAATGCCAGCCGTCAAGAATTACGGGAGCTACGCCTTCTCCAAAAAGAAGAACAACGAGCTCAGCAGCAACTCAGTCATAAGCTATTACAACAACGAGAACAGATGTTTAGGCGCTTTGAACAGGAAATGACAGTAAGATTCCAGTTTCCTGCTGCTATTATATTTTTGGGCAAGCTCAACATTTTCTGTTTAGTGCTCTGTGATGAAACAGTAGATTATGACATTCCACTAAAGTAAAGAATTAATTATGCCTCCTTATAAAGGGCAGGAAATCTAATTGGTAGGGGAAAAGGAATGGAAAAAGAGATAATTACAATGAAAGGAATAAAATACAAGTAGGCCTTGTGATAAAGTAAATGTTGTTTTGAAAATAAGCACAGGGTTTGTATTTCTAAAGAACTTATATCCAATATTATCTGTTCATACAGCGCTACAGCTAAACAGAGTCTTAATTTTTAAGAAGAAGTGGTTCTTAAATGAAAGTAGGAACATAATAATATGCATTATTACTACACTTCATCTGATACATGCCACAGGAAAAGTGTTGATAAAAGAGAAGATAATATCAGTATTATAAAAACTAGGGTAAATGTAGCAAGATACATTTCTTTAATAATATAAAAACGATAGCATTTTTATCTTAAAAATAAATTTAGAAATACCCAACTCATGACCAAACAAGTACTGTTGTCATAAATATTTTAGCTGTGTGATTTTAAAATTGGGGGGGGGGGAAATAAAACCATTTCAGAATTGCTTGACCTTAAAGAAGAAATGTATGTTTTTGCATTTAATATTCTCCGTCTTTCTGAGTAAGAGATTTACTTCTGCTGATTCAATTCTAAATATACTAATAGTTTCAGCAAAATCGAGAAGCATTTTTTATTAGAATCACTGTTTTCTTGAATTTAAGTACTTGAATTTAATTACTTATACAAATGAGTTAAGGTAGACAAAAATGCCTTGTTAACAGATGGTGTTCTCTCCCCTTCCACTACAATCTATCACTTAATAAACATTTTACAAATTTAATGAAGGATTCAAGCAGTTACCAGAGATTACTATTTTTCATGAGATTCTTCTGTTTTGCCTTAATACTTCTCTCAGAAGAGTATATTGTTCACTCAGATAATCAGTGAAAATAATGCTATTATTTTTTTAGAGCAAGAAGCGGCAATTTGACCAGGAAATTGAAAACCTAGAAAAACAGCAAAAACAGACAATAGAGCGCTTAGAACAGGAACATACAAATCGTTTACGTGATGAAGCTAAGCGCATCAAAGCAGAACAAGAAAAAGAATTATCCAAGTTTCAAAACATGTTGAAAAACAAAAAGAAAGAGGTAAAGCCTTTAAATAATTTCGAAAATATGGTGAATGTTTTTGGCCTCAGTGATGTTTACATTTTCATTCCATAATTATGCATACATACTAAATGCACACTTAGGGTCTGCAACACCTTATTTTCAGTAATAAATTATAATGGGCTTCACTGTATATTTGGAGTAGTAAAAAGTATTATTTAGTCAAGACCTTTGATAGAATTTTTGTGTATGTTATCCATTCAGAATAATTGCTAGAACTGTTTGCAGAGAGATTTTGCACATGTGCTTTTATGAAAATTGCACATGGCTAATTATTAAGATTTTTTCAATTGGCTGCTTTATAACATAATCACAAGTAAAAGTCATGGAGACTTTCATGAAATACATCATAACAGAATTTTTAAAATTTTGTGCATGTGTAAGCAGAAGGATGATCTTTATATCAGAAGAATCAAGAATAATGTGCTGTAGAACACTGGTTTTTTTTCCTCAGATTACCCTACATACAATATAAAACAGTTTTACATTTCAAAATGATTGTGGTAGAAAAACTGCAGTATTGATATTTCTGCATGAAATAAAAAAGGGGTTGTTATGCAGTATGTTACTAGGATAAGTTTAAAAATTGAAATAGTGGTTAAATTTACCATTTTGGTTTTATTTGGATCTAATCCAGTTTAAATGGTAAGAAATTCTCTGGCTAAGCAACTTAAAACTCAGTATTTGAATATATTGTTCCTTACTTAAAAGGAGGCCAAAATTATGCAAAATGAAGGAATTGTATCTCAGGTCTTATTTTCTCAATTTTTGTTGATTGTCTGACATTAATATTTCACTTTTTATTACCATTTTTGACAAAAGCATTTCTGTCCTCCAAAATCCCTCCAGCTTGATGATTACTAGGCTATTATATTATTACCTGCAGAAAATAATACTGTATAATCACAGCAGAAATTTCTTGACCCTCTGTTTTGATATATTTTATTTATTATTTGTTTAGATTATATTGTTCTTAGACTAACTTTGATATTATTACAATACTATTACATCTAGTTGTTTTTAAAAATGGTATAATATTAACTTCTTTCTTTTGCTAAATTTCTTGCACTTTGAGTCTCTAATGGTGATTGGATCTCAAAGGGGAAAGCTGGTTAAAGTTTTAATATACTCACAGCAACAGGAATAGCATGTGGTGATTTGGGCTTTATTTCCTATGTATGCTTTATGTTTTAAAAATAGTCATTTAATCTTGGATAGCTAGACAGTCCATTCATCAGAAGTATTTTAATTTGGTTTCTATACTGAATAAAGGGTTGGGCTTGATGGCCTCCAGGGTCTTTTTAGCTCCAGTATAAAATTGAATATTTGATTTATTTTTCCAATGACATGTGACTATCACTTTTGAGATGATCATAGCTTTTCATACAAGTTGTTCTTTTAACAACTACTGTCTGTACTTTTATATGACAAGTGCAGAGGTAGCTGCTCTTGTGTTGTTTTATTCCATATGTTTTATTATTTGGAAAAACAAAATTCTTTTTATTGTCATTTCAAAAAGCTTTATTTTAATGACTGTCTCTACTGCATAAAAATTGATTATGGAAGCAGTTTATTAGTACTCGGGTGCAAATAGAAATTAGTTGTTGGGCTGCTATTGGCATGTCACTTTTTTCTGGAATGCAATCAATAAGTACTTCGTGCATGTACACTTCTTCCTCCATTTTCTCACAAACTAATTCTTCTGGCTTTGCATGCATTTGTAACATCCTCTGAATGCTTATTGCTCCTCTTCATTCACCATAAATGCTTGCTGTGGAGAAAAAGGGTTATTTTCCCCACATTCTGCATGCTTGTGCACTATAGGTTTTTAATGAAGTGGAGAAAGCACCAAAAGAGCTGAGAAAAGAGCTCATGAAACGCAAGAAAGAGGAGCTTACTCAAACCCAGCATGCTCAGGTAACCATAGCAGCTTCCTGCTTCTAAATCCCCCAAACCAGCTTTGTTCGCATTGCTTTAATAGTTTGGTAATGATTGGGCATTTCTCCCTCTGAAAGAATCTATTCATTGGTAGAGATTTCTTAGAATCCAGAACTGCAGATGAAAGGGTATTAGATTTTAATGTTAAAATCAATGTAAAAATGTTTCTATTTAAGAAATACATAGTTATTTATAGAATAGCATCCAAAGTAATTAAATTTCAGTTTATGTTGTATATTAAAATGTCTGATGTATACTTTACATCTGCTTTAACTGAAGCTTGTAATATCAAAAATAATGGAAAGGTAATTGTTATGATTTTGCTTACCTTTTAAAAAAAATATCACTGAAATCTATAATGCCAGACAGTGACTCTGGTGTTAATTAGGTGAATATTTATGAACAAGATAATCAAAGCTTTCTTCCAAATATACTGCTGTACATGGTGTATTTCAATATTTTTACTGTTTGAAACAAAATTTGCATTGAGCTTGCTGTATCTGTAGTTGAACTTTTGATGTTAAATGGTAGCTAATATCATTAACTTTTAATTTTGAAGAATACTTCTGATACAATAATATGCAATTAGAGTGTAGCTGGTTGGCATACACATATAGGACAATGGTAGCTTGGGCTGCACTGGTTCCAATGAGAGAAGTCCTGAATCTTTTTTCCATAATCCTGGTGTCAAAATTCCCGGAGGCAACTGATTATATTATGCTACCAATTTGTCAGTAAGAAGGCAAACAGCAATCTCTTCAGTTATTTGATCTCTCAGGGAATAATTTGCCAAAGACTAGAGTTCCTTTTTGTAGATTGAGCACCGCTAGCCCATGAAATTATTATATACAGCAAGGTTGAGAGTGTTAAAAATAAAACAGGAAAGGAATGAACAGTTCCTTTCTGAAGACTAAGGTTCTAGTCAGTTGCTGGAAACCCTAACTCTTAACACAAGCAAATACCTCAGGAAAATTCACAGATGGATGGAGGAAATCTGAATAATTGCAAATCTGTAATCTAAAACACAATCTGCACTGCCGCTGCCTTCATAGATCGTAGTATGAGGTCCACATCCACTAGATTCTAGTGTGGCTTCTGTTGGCTACAAACATTATCTGGTTGGATAGGTCACCAGATGTTCTTTTCATCCTTGCAACATCTGGACATCTCAAAGTGGATTTTCTCTATATGCATTACATAGACCAATATGATGTTTAAGTTTATATTTCATTATTTATGTTACTTAGTAAATAGTGGAGGAAAAAAATAACAGTAGGATCATAATATTAAATAATGATATATCAAAACTTATATGTGACCCAATTCTCCATGATTCTGGATGGCTGCCAAAAAACCAGAGAAATTTCAATAAAATCAATACATGATTTAAAAGAACAATAAAAGATAGCAAATGCAATGAAATGAAGGATCTCCTTCTCCATTTCTAAAATTTCTAAAAACTTGAAAAGAGTATGAAGACCTGTTGAACAACCGTGTATTCAGTGTTCTAAACAACAGGGATTGAGGGGATGATAACCATAAAAAACACTAAAGTATTTAGAGCAAGATAGAGAAAACTTAGGCATTGCTAAATTGCTGAAGCTTTCCATCCCATCCATCTAGCAGAATCTTGCTTTTAATAGGCAATTTTTTTCATAACAGTGTATCATACCTTTTCCCAAACTTTACCAATCATACTTTTCCATAGATGGTGTATTTGGTAAGTGTCCTTTTTGTGTGACTGTCTTATAATTGCAGTCCTTAAATTATTAGAAAAAAAATAATATCTTTTAACACAGCAAGTGAAGTTACAGGGTGTGACTGAGAATGGGTTATTGAGTATTAGGTATAGAAAATTAAAGAGTGATGATGATTCTTTTTTTCTCATTTAGTCTGTGATTGGTGCCTACATGCATAAATGCTCAATTGAGACAATAAGTATAAACAGTGATTCAGAAATACTGTATTATAAATAAAGATGAATTATTGTTACAATAGTGTCTGGTAAAGAGGTAGTTGCTGAAGTTGTAAGTTCTTTTGATGTTTTGCTTCTGTGTAGTGTGGAAATGCTTTGTTTGTGGTTATTTTCACACGGGAAGTACATTGTATTCTGCTCCACAGGCCATTGCTCAGGTTATGATTCAGTCATTTCAGTTGTCCTCATCTGCTCTCTTCAATGCAGTAATGCAGGATGTAAGTTTATATAACCCTCCCATAAAAAGCATATGACCTCTGTCGTGTTGGCTTTCTTTTTTTTCCTCTTACATACATGTGCTGTTAAATTATTTTTATTTAAATTACTATATAAAACATTATTAATGTGCACGAAGAAATTAATAGAACAAATTAGATCAATTTTCAGCACATGTGTAAAACTGAGTTATTGTTGTTCCCTCTGTGTGTTGTAAAACTTGGCTGTTCTTCAGAGTGCTTTTAGATATAATTTGACAGTGCATTTTCCTTCTTTACCTAATAACAGTTCTCTTACTGTTTGATTATAGGACAAAGAAATGCCTTTATTCCCACCTTCTTTTTTGGTAATTTTTCCACCCTTCCTATTAGTATTTAGAGGTTTAAGAAGGGCTTGCATCTTATCTATATATTTCTTTGCAATGTAAAATTTTGATATGGCCTTTTATTATTGAGCTTTAAAAACATTGCATACCTTATAGGCAATCCCTCTGTTAGTATTAGATAGTTGCATTTATGCAGTCATTGATCTTCTCTAAATAACAAACAGGTGATCATAAAGTTCTTTTTTTCTGAAGAAGTTTAGAAGTTCTGCTAATTATTTATTTGCAGAACTATCTAGTAGATAATGATTATATTTTGATGACATTTACATGTTCAAATATTTTGCTTAAATACTTTTAAACTATTATGGAGACGTCAAACAAGAGAACTGTAAGGTAAAAGAAGTAGCCTTTTTGTGTTAAGTAATTTCGGTTTCAAGTTCTGGTTTGCATTCAGGTTCTACATCTCTTTGCTTTCCATTATTCCATGGCACTGTGTTGCCAATTGTGTTTATTGATCCAGAAACATTACAGATTCCTTTAATACGCAGGAATATTTTTAGATAAGCTACACAAAAAGCAAGGGTAATAATTTCATATGAAGTATGGGTGGAAACTTTTCCGACGTCTGTTTCTTATCCATTTCTAGTTGGTGGTGGAATAGCTTTGTAGTAACATTTCACAGGAATGGCATAATTTTTCTGTGGCAGTCTGAGAAATTATGATATTTGTCTGGGAAATCCCCTATATATTTTCACAGATATTTTTGAGGATAAGGTCCAAGAAATATAAATGATTTTTAAAAAAGATGTTAAATTTTAACATTTTCTTAGAGTTATATAAAAATGAAGGCAAAATTTCACAAATCATTTTTAGTTGTTAAAGCAGTAGTTCAAACTCAAGGCCCACAGGCTGGATCCGACCCGCAGGGATATGGCCCGCAGGGCCACCCTGGAAACAGCGAAGGACCGGCCTGCAGTGCCTCTGCCAGCAAATACATAGCTCAGGAGGACTGTTTTCACTGGCAGAGAGTTGCAGAGGTCATTGCAGTTGAAAACGGAGCTTGGGAATCTGTTTTCGCTAGCAGAGCACTCTGGCCACCATAGGTGCCCCACAACATGAGTGATGTTGAGCTAGCCATTCCCCCCCCCCCCAACACAACTCTGATGTAACCCTCAATGAAATTGAGTTTGACACCTCTGTATTAAAGTATTAGTCTGGATAGTTGCTGAAGAAAACTAACCAGAATGAGCAAGTATAATTTAAAAGCCTGTTCAGTGATAGTTCTTTTTCTATGACAATGAGCGTCACCCAGAGTTGCATTCCAGTTAAGTGCCGCTGGCACTAGGCAATACAATGAAAGCTCTGCAAACTCATTCTAATGTTTCTATAACTGACGTGTTCTGTAATTTGGTTTGTGACCTAAGACACTCCCGTAGATTGAGACTCGTAAGTTAGCTCTGAGAAGAGAGAAACATTTCCAAAATAACTGGCAAAAATTATAGAAACTTCAGGGGAAAGGAAGTTTCTAAGTTTCCATAGCACATTTCATACCTTACATTAAAATATTGTGATTATATTTTTGAATATTTGCAATGTAAATGAAGTATTGATGTGCAAATACTGGACATTTTAATTTGTTTGTGTTCTGTTGGTTTATTAGTAATTTCAGGTTTATATTTTGACTTGGATTATCTTTGTTGTTTCTAGACTTAGATTATTTCTTTTAATATCTGTACCATCTTTAAATGCTATATAATTTCACAAAGTGTTTTCAATTTAAAATATTGAGTTCAGATACATTTCTGAATCAAAAACTTGTAGTTATGTGCTAGGTTTTGGAATATTTGGAAATCTAATTAACTATACATTATCCCACATATTATACATGTTTATAAGCCATTATATAGATCAGGGGATTGCATCATAGGCTGTATTGTGACATATTGGGCTATATTGCGATGTATTGGGATGTTTTTGCCTTTCCGGAGCTGGGATAGGCATGGCCTGCGCAGGCTGTATTTGGCATGCAGGCTGCCAGTTTGACAAGCCTGATATAGATGTTTTAAATAGTTTAAAATCCTGAGGATTTTTTAAAGTTTGTTTTTCATATGAATTGTATTCATATGAAGCACAAATCTATTTTTGTTTTAAGGTACATTTCTTACTTTTTCTGAAAACGTCTTAAATGATCCCAGTTCTTTAATTACTATTAAATACTGTGTATAATAATGTCACAGCACTATATTTCCAGGGATTAACTACTTGCTAATATTATTAATGGATGCCAAATCACACTTGGGGAAAACATTGTAAGTCCTATAAACTTCTTATACAGGCCCTGGAACAATTCTGTTTTCTTAAGACTCATAAAATTGCTACTTTCTCAGCTTCTTCTGCAGTTATCCACAAAAATAACCACCTGAAGACTTTCAGGGTAAAAGGCTGAATTGATCTCAATAAACCTGTTGTGGAGCAGGACTCATTTTTAGTTCATCCCAATTTTTATTGGTCATATCTTCTTTCATCTACCATACCAATTAAAAATTAGTTTAATTGGTAACTGAAAGCTATAAACACTTGTGTAACATTTTAATAATAATGTTATATGTGAAAACTGAATTAGTTCATTGTATGAGAAAACTTGATTAGTCCATTGCTACAAATTTTCAATTTGTGTTTTTCTTTAGCCATATGCCTTCATGAAGCAATTTGCTTGTAAAACCTACAAATACATCAAATGGATTTTAGAGAAATTACTGATTTGGAGAGGAAGAATTAAATTTAACAAGTCATTAAGTGTAAGTGTATGTATCTTCCTCCATCCATCCATTTCCATCTATTGGATTGGGTGTTGCAGCTTTAGTATATGCAGGAAGCCTTCTGAAAACTGAGGTTATTTGAAGCATTGAACTGTAACTTGTAGCATCCATCATGCTTCTCACTGCAGACTGCAAGTTGCAAAATCTGAAAGGTTCAGCACACCTTCTATAAAATATTAATTAGCCTTTAGATAAAATGATGAGTCTGAATCTTAGAAGCACACATTCATAGCCCCTTTATTTATGAAACTGTTAGGTGGCCCTCTGGGTATTCTTAATGTCTTTCTGTTAGTGTACCTCTCCTTACACAATGCTTTTTTGAGACTTCAGTGCTACTTGAAGCTACTGTGGGATGCAAATCAACATTCCTTTGAACTCTGTGTGATTACTGAATTTGGACTCATTTTTAACAGGAGCAAGAGTTTGTGCAGAAACAACAACAAGAACTGGATGCATCATTAAAAAAAATAATTCAGCAGCAGAAAGTAGAGCTGGCAACCATTGAACGAGATTGTCTTAATAACAAGCAGCAACTCATGAGAGGTATTTCTTCTTTTTTCTCATAGTTGAACTGAGCCTTTATGAGTTCATAGTAGGATTAGGGGCTCTATCCATCATGTATTGCTGAAAAGTAAACCCCATGAAAATGAGTAAGAATATTTATGGACTGACATCCTAAATTTCTGTCTGTTTGATACAAGGGGGAAACCAGGAAAGACTGTAACTGAACTTTAAATAAAATTCATTCAAATGGAAGTCCTCATTCCAAAACAGAAAAAAGTGATATACAAAATCCTCTTTCAAGGCCATTTTGTTATATGCCGAATATACAGGTGTGTCAATTCAAGTCTTTGTTGGAAAATATATTGGAAACAATTCCTTCTTTTTTTAAAAAAAAAATCTTTATTGGTTATACATTTTTTAATAAGACATACAAATACAGCTTTAAACATACAAACCTCCCCCTCCCCCAGTGACAGTCGTTCATAGCCCAACATTTTTTCTTCCTAATTATTTAGCCTCTAACCAGCATCTTCTTGTTACAAAATTCAGGGATCTATTACAATACCCACATTCACTTTTAGTTTTCATTGTTAACAGCTTCCTTCTTAACTTAATACCACTACAGTATTTTACTTGGGCTTTTCATTAATTAAATCACTGTATGAAGTACAGAAGTTGCAGAAGACCTGTTTTGGACCTGTTTTCTCAGTCTCAGAAGCCATTTTTTCCATTCTAGCCAGGGAAGCTGCAATATGGGAACTTGAAGAGCGACACTTGCAAGAAAAACATCAGCTGCTGAAACAGCAGCTGAAGGATCAGTACTTCATGCAGAGACACCAGCTGCTTAAACGGCATGAAAAAGTTAGTGCAATTTTAATTTGGTTTTTTTTTAACCTAATGCTCAGGAAGGTACCTTTAGTATTTAGCTGGCATTCCTTTTATTAATGGACATTTATCTGTTTTTAAGGAAACTGAGCAAATGCAGAGATACAACCAACGACTGATTGAAGAGTTGAAAAACAAACATACTCAGGAAAAAGCTCGGTTGCCCAAAATCCAGCGTAGTGAAGCCAAAACAAGAATGGCCATGTTTAAGAAAAGCCTCAGAATTAACTCTTCAAGCACTCCAGACCAAGATCGTGAAAAGATCAAGCAGGTAAGAAGTAATAATATTGATTTAAATTTAAATTATCTTTATCTGTGAGAGTATACGTTCTGTGAAACAATCTTCTCCAGAGTTGAAAAGTTATTACATTTAATCTAATAGCTATTTCTATGAAACTCTTGACTCCTTTGACAGTTTGAATGAATTTGGAACAGTTAACCATTGAAGATATGGAACGTTATAAGTTTGATCATTTATGAAAATTGCAAGGTACTATAATGTGTACCCAAATTACCAGAAATTGTTTTGTAAATAGCATGTAACAGATGCATGTTATTATTATACTGTATATTATGTATCATGTGTATGTGGTTAAATATAAAAGTAGTAAGTCTTATTTTAATTTAAATTCCATTTTTGTACAAGTTTGCTGTTCAAGAAGAAAAGAGGCAAAAAAATGAAAGATTGGCTCAACTTCAGAAACATGAAAATCAAATGCGAGATCTTCAATTGCAATGTGAAGCTAACATTAGAGAATTACATCAGCTGCAGGTCAGTTATATAAAATGTTGATTGATTTATAGTATAGAATTGTACTGTCGTATATTGTGCATGGAATAGTTTTTAAATATTATACATCTATAGTGTCATTTATGTTACTTGTTTACATGAAACACTCCTATTTGAAAAAGGGCTTTTGCAATACTCATCTAACAGTTAACCTGGGAATAAACATATTATCTTAAAGCAATAATTCTATGCCACTATTTTCCCAAAGAAATGTGAAAGTAGTCAATAAACCATAGTATTAAGCAGTACCTAAAAACTCATAATCTGAATGTCACCTCTCATGCACCTCTTGCTGCATTAGTGTTTTAGATTATTTCTAATAGAGTGCTAAACTCATGTAACTCTACTTTGTATTACATTTCGATTTAAAATAGTGACAACTGATTTTCCAGTGACTTGATTCTCACTGTGGTCTGAATGGCAGGAACATCCAGACTAAACCTAATTTAAAAAATTAAGTCAGCATATACCTGTAACCAAATGGCTATACCATCCGGTTTGATTTACTAAATGATATCCCATTTGCAGAATGAGAAATGCCATCTACTGGTCGAACATGAGACTCAAAAATTAAAAGAGTTGGATGAAGAACATAGCCAAGAGCTTAAAGAATGGAGAGAGAAACTAAGACCAAGGAAGAAGGTAAAACTTCAAATTGGGAAATACAGAAATCTAAACAAAATGCTATATCTTGAAGAGAAGTATTTAGAAAAGAATAAGAGAGTTGGATGGGACCTTGGAGATCTAAAACCCTGCTTAGGCAGGAAACCCAACATCATTTCAGATAAATGATTTGTTTTTCTATATAATGATCCAGTGTGTTTTGATACTTTGATTCAGAATCTTACTAGGAAAAGTGCACATTTTTATAGTTACATACTAGTGCAAATGTTGAAATACTATATCAGATAGATAGATAGATAGATAGATAGATAGATAGATGATAGATAGATAGATAGATAGCATAGATAGATAGCATAGATAGCATAGATAGCATAGAAGCTACAGAAAAGGCAGATTAAAAATATTTTCTGCTGAATATTAATAGTAAACAGTATGACAAAATTAGAATAATTAGGTACATTTAAGTAAACAAAAATATTCTGCATTTCTTACATGAAGCTTATCCTTGTCATACAGTGTAAAGTTTCACACATGATATTAATAATTTGTTTACTAAACATGCAATTGGCCATGGACAGCCTATACAAAGCCCTGGTTAGCAATCCATTTTTTAAGTAGAGAGGTTGCAAGAGATCTCTTTTATATAATGTCAGAGCTTAAGTCATTTAACAAATTTAGTTGCTCATCAATATTTGACTATTTTGGTTTCTGTGTGGTTATCAGTAGTTCAGACTCCTTTCTTTAGGAATTGTTTTTATAAATTATTAGTTATTTTTACCTTTATATTTTTTGTGGTAATTGAACTACAAATTCATATTAGAATCTTGAGAAAAATAAGGAAAGACTTTGTAAGGGAACTGGGGAGGGTAAGCTAGCTTTGCAGATTATGTCTAAGTATTTAGATAATCAGGTATATTAGAATATAAGGATATTTTGTGTAAATATAAATAAATACATACATACCTGTGTGTCAAGAAAATCACTAGTGCTTCCCCCCCCGCCCCTACTTACTCCTTGATTGAATAAACTATTGCATTATTTCAAGATAGTTTTATACAATGTCTTCGATAAATCTAGAAAAATCCTAAAGTTATTTGTTTTTCTGTGTTTAATCACTAGACATTAGAAGAGGAATTTGCCCGGAAACTTCAAGAACAAGAAGTTTTCTTTAAAATGTCTGGAGAATCTGAATGCCTTAATCCTTCAACTCAAAGCCGGATTTCTAAATTCTACCCAATTCCTAGCCTGCATTCCACAGGATCATAACAGTTGAACCTCTGTGAGGTGGCTTTCAGTGTGCTGTTGACATTGGCAGTTTACCATATTCTGTTTCTGTATTTACACTCACACTAATACACAACACACAACATATCAAACTTCTGCTTTCAGCAGAGACAATCAAGGATGTTAGACTTTTCTTTCTTTGCTTTTGCTTTCTTTTGTTTAAATGCTGGAAAACAATTGAAATTAGAAGCACAGAGGTGTTCTTAAAACAGAATATGGTATAATGTGTTTCAGAAATAGATACCTGTTTGAAAACTGATCTAAAAACTATATATCCAATATATTTGCACTGGGAAGAAAGCCTAACCATTTAATGATCATCTGCAATGTCCCAAGAATCAAAGATGATTCTTAGACAAAGTCAGTACTGCTAATTCAACCAAATCTTGTTTATGAGGCAGCAGCTCTCCAGCCTCATTTTATTCAGTGCCTGAAACAATTAAACATACTGCTCTTTTATAAAAGATTTGTGATTATCACATGGTAAGCTGTTGATGTTAATATCTGTTGCTGTTATAGTGACAGTGTTTGTCAAATCCTTAAACTGAGCATTCCCACTCAACTTTAAAATGTACAGTTTATAGTCTCTCCCCTCCTCTTTTAAATTTTCTATTTGGCTTTTAATATTCTACAAAATGAATTGAAATTGTAGAATTTATATCTTTTTAAAAGAGGGGAAATGCATTAATTTTCACTCCCCCTGCAGCTCTGCATGATCACATGAAAAGCAGAGTTAGATGATCAGAGCAGCATTATCAGATTTCAATGCTGCAAAGTCTTTGACTGCCCTTGTACTTACAAATTAATGTTTTGATTTCCGGATATGAATAATCTTTTTGTAAAATTTCAGTATGTACATTGAGCGAAGGATTTACGTTAAGTACTAAAACAATTTAATCTGCTACTTCATTTGCTAAGAAGTAAGTAGATAGTTTATTTCTAAAATTCATAGCTCCACTGTAATTTATTTTTTTATATTTCTATCAGCGGGAGATTTATCTTCATTCAGTAAGACAAGCTTTTCAATACTGAAGCATATCAAAAACTATTGCTTTTGATATGCCAAAATTAAGTTTGTAATATAAATGTCCTCAATAGCGCAATCCTTTAATAGGTAATTTTGGATTATCATCCAAACGTTTTCATAGTTTGCTATCTTTCATTAAAGGCAAAATTGGTTACCTTTTATACAAAGGAAACAGATTTTAAAAAAAATACAAACTGCCTTAATGGAAATGTGACCAATACTTTGGCTACTGAATTCAGATGCTGAGTTTGATTTTATTCGGTTGTTCAATTGCTTCAATATTATAAGTATAGGCTGAAGATGCATATTTTCAGTTAAATTCTGTTCATCGGAAATAATAATTTGCTTGCAACGTATAGCTAGCCTTAATATCTGATATCTTATTTTATAAATATGTAATGTGTACCAGGTTGTAAATTCCTTTATATGTTACTAGAGTGTTATGTTTGCTGTATTGCATCCTAAAAACCTTTTGCAGAATTGCATAGATGAAAGAACACCTATCAACTTTTACGTTTTTTTTAAAAACTTCACCTTGTGAAACAACTAGTACTGACTGTAACATTAAATTCTCTCTGTTTAATCAACATATAAGTCTGCTTTAAAAAAATCTAAAGTCCATTGACTCCTTTGAGGAATGTTTTATTTCTGTATTCATTTTTCTTATTTGGGTTTATTTTTTCAGTCATTTCTTGTTGTTAATACATCTGTTTTTTGGAGATAAAACAAACAAACCTGAGTTTGTTCAGAATCAAATAATTGGACAGCATGATTAAGGCAGAATTCTGAAATGTACAAATGGAGGCATTGTTTGCTAATCTGAATGGTTTTCCTTTTGGTGTGTGGTGTTTTGTGGGAATTTATTAAATACCATCTGTATGTAGAACTAGGTAATCAACATTTGGAATACATTAATTAATACTGCTTGGTATTTTCCCATGTTAACGGTTATCTGTGGTGGAACTTTCCTCTTAGGAGCTTTATTTCAATATAGTTACAATTTCATGACATAAATTGGGTTTGAGATCCATTGACCCTCATAATGGTCTTCGGTTATCTATTTCAGGTCTTCATTGACAATTGTTTCTTTGACATCATGACAGGAAACCTGGCTTGGATATGGGTCAACTTGGACCCATAGTTTCCTATTCTAATTTGAAAAGTTTTCTATTTTTCAGTTACAGTGCTCTTATTCTATTGGAACATAATATCAAATTGGCTATATGATCCAACCAGCGGAAGAACAACTCACTAATACCTCAAGAAATATGATTGTTGGATGACAGAATAAAAAGCCTAAATAATTGTTGCCTATGATTCAACTCTGTCAGCTTCTCTATATTCAGTTATTATTCTGCTCTACATTTTGTGATCTTTTTGTGGTAAGGCTAATGCATGATATATAAAAGCCTGTAAAATTCACACAATTTTAGAAATTGAATTAAGGGCTTCAAGGATACTTTTAATAATAAAGAATTCTTTCAGAAAGAAACATCAAGTGACATATCTCATTATGAATATATTTACATAAGGAAATATTTAGCAAGATATTTTCTAATATGTTCTCATTTTATTGTATGCTGCCTCATTGGTTTAAGTGGTTACACCAGTTGGAAGGAATAACTTGATATTCTGTCTATCAGTAATCATAATTCTGTCAGTATATCCCTTTCTTCATCAGATAACATGACATATTATGGATGGTGCTCTTATATAATATCTGAAGAATAAATATGCAGAACTCCATTGCAAAGTATAGGTTTATACAAGAGAAAAATGTCATATTCTTCATGGGCCTGTAGCTTTGGCATACCAATCCTTAAGCAAAAAGGCATGGTGAGTTTCTAACACAAAATAGACACAATGTGGGTATGTTACTACAAGTGTATTTTTGATCATATCATTAGTTTCATAAATCTATACAGCATTGATGCTTCCTGTTGAGATTAATATTGTCAAAGCAACATTTTAAAAATCATTTTTAAAAACTGATTTCAGTTTTATTGTGTCAAAGGAATAAAATTGAGTTAGCCAGATACTGAAGCTTTAACATCATACAAAATAAGCCAACTTATTCTGTATGATGATCAATTCAAATATTGATTTTATTTATATTGTAACTAGTGAAATATATTCATGAATATAGTTCATGAGCAGGTGATTTGGTGTAGTCATTAAGGCATCAGGTTAGAAACTGAGGCACAAAGCCAGCTGGGCCAATCGCTGTCAGCCCTAAGAAGGAGACGGTGGCAAATAACTTTTGAAAACCTGATAAGAAAACTGCAGGGATTAATGTAAGAAGTTGACAGGATTCAACACTGACTCAAAGGCGCACACACACACACACACACACACACGCACACCTGTATTCAATGTTGAATACAGGTGTGAATTCAATAGGGTGATATCAGTTGTGATAAATATAAGAATCTCTGTATAGAAAAGAATCAGATAGGAGACACTGAAATATTGGTTTGGAAGAAAAATTCAGGAGAAGAATCAAGAAGTACTAATGTACCTGCAACTGAATATGAGTGCTAAACAAAGTGCTAAAATGCTTATCCTATCTTGGACTGAAACAGATTTCATACAGGCTATGGAGAGTAATTGTTCCATTGTATATTGTACTACCATACAATATACATTTAGATTATCCCATTTCTGGGCATTACATTCTTGAAAGGATGAGAGAAGCTGGAACAATTTGCTACTAGGGTACTAAAAATTGTCTGATTGGGCCAATTAGGAAGAATTAGGAAGAATTTCTCATCAACAAAAAACACATAGAACAATCTGCCAAGAACAGAAAGAAATGATGCTGTCTTGGAGTTGGCTAGCAACCTGTTAGGGGAATTAATCAGATTCTGGCATTGAGTAGGGTGCGTGTGTGGCTGCTATAATGAAATCCCTTCCAGTTCATAGTTTCTGTGTCTCAATGACAAGTTGTTAGTTTTGCCTCACTAAGAATGATGAAATCTCTCAGCTCAATCATCATAGGTATAAGGGGGGGAAAACCCATATGTGCCACTGTACATTCCCAGATAACAAGTTGGAATGGCGGTACCATACATAATAAACGGTTATTAAGCTCTTGCTGTGTATTTGCTTGTTACTTATTCTAACGCCTATACCCACGATGGGTGAAGAGGCGTCAAGTACAAGTACTTATTCTAAGGATGCTGTCCAATCATGAGACCTCAGTCAACTAGATTTTTCTTTTTGATGTTTGAACAATAAATAAATCAGATAGTGTGTTCTTCTGATCATTTCTTTCCAGTTAGCCCTTTCTAAAGAGGTGAGAAGGAAAATTCTAAAGAAGCCTCACCGTGAGATTTTGACACTCAGAGATGTATCAAAAATAGTATAACCAGCTCTTGAGTTGGTCTATGAATATATTTTCTATTGCTGCCCTCTAAATCTGCTAGATGATCCTAAGAAGACATTGCTTCTTCATACCTAGATAATGATTTTTTAAAATTAATTTTTATTAATGATTTACACATATGTAAAAGATAAACAAAATTATATAGAGTGAATTTTTATTTTTAAAAAGTAGTAAAGTTCAAGTAGAAAAAAAGATTAAAGTAGTTCTTGATCTTTATAGCAGCTAAAAAATCTCTACCCTCTTTAATGTTATAAGATGATTCTTTTTTCACATATTCAACCCTTTTTGATTAGCAAATACATAAATCATCCATTCGAATGAAAATGATTTCTAATATTGTGACTGAATATCTCTGCTTCAAACTTTACTAAAAATGTTTGTTCCTGATCAATTTGTACTAATTGCTGTTTACTCAAGTGGATACAGCTGGTTAATTGTGGAATACATTTATTAAATGTCAATTAGATCAATTAAAATGTAAATTAAAGTCAATCCAATTTTGTTCCCTTTTGTAATTGTGCCCTGCTGGATTTTGAGAAAAAACACACTACAGAATCTTAAAGTAACTTTATTTTTTAAAAAACAAATATTTCATTTACAAATAACATTTGAATTAAAGCACAGCCTACTTCTGTGGCAAATAGCTCAAACGGATTCTCATTTCAAAATCCTTACAACTAATTCCCACGCCTGGATTTTAGTTACAAATTATTCATTTTATCCTGAATAAAAACCAGTACTTAAAATTTAAAAAGAAAATTTGGAATTCATTTTCCATGCTAATGATAAGTTCAGAAAAGTATTTAATAAACTTAAGGATTTATGCTTGATGCTTAGGGTATTTTCAGAAATGGGCAGCTTGCTAATCCAAATTTTAATTGCAAATATGGCTTGCTGGTTGTCAAATTGCTGGAATATGGCCTCCAGTCCTTTTTAAAAGGAGAAATACCTGGTTTGAGGCCAAAAAAAAAAAAAAAAAAGATAAACCGCAGTTCTTCATCTTGTGTGTTTTTTGGGGGGATAAATCTCTCCAATCTGGTGCTTTCTAAATATACTAAATTTTCATCCATGCAACTTCAAGAATTGGAGATTAGTACCATCTGGAGAGAACTGGAAATTAGTCACTTGACCACTTGCAACTTGTAAATGGGCAATCTAGCATTGGTGTTGATCATCTACATCTGTATCCTTTTGTTACCAATCGAGTTGGCAATGACTTGATGTCACAAAAGCAATAGAACATCAGGATTGCTCATGTAGAAAATAAGAAAATAGAGGATGAACTATAACTGAGTATAGTATCAAAATGTCAGCTATCATTTCAGGATTTAAAGTATAAAAGATTACAGTGTGAATCAAATCTGTTGGAGGGATATGTGTGCATACGCGCCTAGACAGATTGAAAAAGAGACAAGCAGACAGTATATCTGTCTAATAATTTCAGTATGAAATTATGTTTACAGGCTTAGGAAAGCTGGATTTCATGTCTATAATTGCAATACATTAGGTTTTCATTTTGCAAATATTTATAAGGAAACAGGTTCCACTGAATTTAGTGGAACCTTTTAGACATGCACAGAATTGCACAGTACTATACCATTTACTGTGTGTGCATGATTATGTCAGGTTTAATTTAACTGTTCATACCAATTGTTTTGCAAATACTACTACAGTGCATTTTGATGGGATCAGAGAATTTAGGCAATACAAAACAACATTGTCAAATTGACCGATCTGAAGCTATATGAAAATAAATTTTACGGATAAATATGCTTATGTCCTTTACCTATTTTGTGCATATAATTCTATGATGAAATTAATTGGGGTTGTAGATTCTTATTGAAAAAAGCTTGAAAGGTGTTCATTGTAAAGGTAGAAGTGTTTTTATGTAAGATTATTCCATTTTGAAGGACATGATACTGAACTCAGTATGAAATTGTACTATCGTAGTTACTATTATGAGAGCCAGTTTGATGTTGTGGTTAAAAGTACCACACTGGAAATTGAGAAATTCTCAGCCCTAGGGAGAAGGCTATGGCAAACCACCCTGAGAATGTTGCCAAGAAAACGTCTGGGACTTGTCCATGTAGTTTCCAGGTGTCAAGACTGACTTGAAAGCACCAAGACCAAAACAAATCAATAGTTCGCTTAAAAACTTCCCTCCTAACTATGCCGGAACAACACACTACTTTAACCTTAGTAGAAACCAAAGGCTAGAATATATATGAGAGCTAATGAAAAGCTGGATATTAAAAAGGCATTTCATGTGATAAAAAACCATAGCAAACTTTTTTTTTATCAGTTCTAACAAAAATGCTTAAATATCATTAATTCCAATATTCTTCACAATGCAGTTAACAGGGTTTGAAAGAATGGAGAAATACAGTATATAAAATATAACATGTTTTATACATCCTGCTGGCAATATTTTGATTTTAGCCCCCGTTTTAAATGCAGCACTGTTAGATACATCCCTTGCTAGATAAAGTACCCACCTTTAATCCTTTCATTTTCAAAATGAAAATGGTTTTTAAAAAATGTTTCAAAAATTATATGAAAATGTTCTAGTATTTATCTGAAGGAATTCAGATGTGTCTGGATAATAAGATGAATTGGGCAGGGTATGCAGATATAAAATCCTCATAGTTCAATGATAGATCTCCTAATTAATATAGAATTATAACAAGTGACTAATTACAAGCCTCTGAAAGCCATCGAGAATCTAGACATAAGAGAACATGTTAGTAAAATAATTCCCCAAATACCAAGTCTTTGTAGCAGATTGATGTTTCTTTAGTGAAAGTCAATAGCCATTGGTGTTTCATCTCTTTTGGCATTAAGAAACAACAACAATATTTGGGATAATCTGTGCCCTAATTTGTGTTCTTAGTTTAGGCTCTTGTACTTTGTCTTCTACTTCGACCACTGTACACTGATTCACCTGATGGAGACAAAAGAAGCAAAACAATTAATTTATTAAAATCCCAAATGGAGTTACTGTCCTGACACGTAGAGGTGCCTCTGCTATTAACCACAATGGTAAAAAGAAGAAACATGTGACATGTCACATACCCCACCCATTTACATTTCCATCCTAACAGACCCAAGAATGTAAGTCATGAGGTTTGGATTGTGATATCACACGTTTTGTCATCACATTTGTCACCACTCCTCACGAATGCTTATGCTAATCTCATTTTCTCTATTATTTGGATCTAATCTATGCAGGGGATTTATAGTATAATAGTTATTCCCTATATTTTTTTTTTTTCTTTTCTGACTGGATATTTTTATTTCATTTTCATTTTCATTTTATACAATCACTTATATACTGTGCATAAAAAAAAAGAAAAAAGGAAAAAAAAAACCCAACATAACACTTCATTCCCCCATACACCCTCTCTTCTCCCCCTCCAACTTTCCTTTCACCCCTCCAGCATTCCCCTCTTCTACTTCCCTACCCCCTCAGACATCTCCCCCTCCCTCCATTTCACCCTCCTTACATTCCCTCTCACTCCCTCTTTACTTCTCCCTTCTCTTTCCCTCTTCTCCTCACTTTGGTGTATCCATACAATTCCCTATATTGTAGATTTCCAAAGGTTATGAAAGGAATTGCTCACACAAAATTAATAGTTCAGAGGATTATAAATCTCAATTATGATTAAAACTTTTTGATCATAATGCTTCTCTTTATTTAAAGATAATATCATACCTTTTTCACCTTTTGGACCCCTTGGTCCTTGGGGGCCTGGTGGGCCCATTGATCCAGTATCACCTAAAAGAATAAAGGGGGAGGGGAATCAAATAACGTAATGAATCTAAGGATCTAAACCAGGACATTTGACAAAAGGTTAAAAAGACCTTTGTTAAATCATTTAACAAATTCAAAGATTAGTCAATCATAGGCTTTCCAATTCCTTGTCCCAAGAACACTCCCAGCCATTTTCTTATGAAGGTATCAAGCAAACTGAAAAATGTTTCATTTGCTTCCTTTTCTGCCTCCAAATTTTCCAGCAGTTTTCAATTATGCAAATTATAAATTACATTATGCATAAGATTGTCAGCATTTGATCGATAATACCATGTTTCACTGAAAATATTTTCTTTTGACCCCCAAAATAAGCACTGGTCCTTATTTTCGGGGGAGATCATATTTTAGCGCATGCACGCAAAAGTCCGATTGGGCTTATTATCCGGGGAGGTCTTATTTTCAGGGAAACAGGATACCTGCCTAACTACAAACAGCCAGAATGAACCAATGTTTAGTATTAGTAAGCAAAAGGTTACTATTTAAACAAAATTAAATACAGGAGAAAATGCTTTCATATTTGTGTAGAACAGGGGTGTCAAAATGGCGCCCTGTGGGCCAGATGCATTACACACAGGCCACGCCCACCCCAGCTCTGCAAAGGCAAAAAGTGTCATGATGTCACGTGAGTTTGACACCCGTGGTGTAGAAGTTGCTTTACTTTTTGTGTATGTGACTTTGCTTTATTTTTATATTTTTAGTATAAGAACGAAAACATAAGTGAAGGCTGTTATGGCCAAACCGGTAGTACCTGCAAAGTCAACTAAGTTTAATATGCATACTAAACTGAAAGAAATGTTACCATTTTCTCTAAGGGTGAATAAAGTCAAAAGTGAAGGTATTTGTGTGCCAATAGAATTGAGGGCCAAAAGGCCTTCCCAAGAAACAAGCCTAAAGTATTGGCACTCTCAAAGAAACTCTTAGGTTTACGGGAGGGGGGGGGCACCTTTATTTTTTAATTCATCGCTCCCAGTAGGTCCTAGCAGTATTGATTAAAAAACATCTTGCCTGACTTTCCAACCTGTTAGTTTATTTTGAATGGTATGACATCACTGCACATGAAAGCCAATCTTGTTTTTTAAAGATTGCCCTAGAGGCATTTAAATCACCTTTACGGCCTGGGTATCCCATCAGTCCTTGTGGTCCAGGTGGGCCTGGAATGGTTCCATAAGCTGTAGAAAACAATCAAAACCAACATTTCTAGATATTCTGCTTATAAATATAAAATAAGTGCTATTTATGCAAGTATTTCCAAAACAAATGAACTATTATGAGTTAAGTGCCATTAGCCCTTTCAGCCTTTTCTGTTATGCTGAATCAAAGTAAGCTATTCACGTTTTCTCTGATAGTATTTCATATATTGTTTTTAGAAAGGCCCAGAGATCAAATTTATGACAAACGTTTACTTCTACCATTCACAGTTATGTTACTCTAGGTATATAGATATTGATATAGATTAAAAAAAGAAAAAGAAATAGGAAATGGTATATAAAAGGCTAGAGTAAATTAGAGATTATTAGTTACCTCTGAAGAAATCCATGAGGTCTGCTGTGATATTGCCATAGGATGCAAACACTTTGCTAATACCAGGGGGGCCAGGTGGTCCAGGTGGGCCTTGTGTATGATAAGTGAAAATGTCTTGAAGAAGGCCTCGGCCTGGGAAATAAATTGTTTTTTTTAAATTATTATTATTATTATTCATTAATTTGTATGCTGCCCATTCATGTACGTCTGGGTTGCTGATAAAAAAAATATATATAACATACGATTTTAAAACACTTAAACAGCTTGCATATATAAACAAATTTTAAGATTTTTCCTAAATGGGGCCAGCCTTGGCTCTAGTGGTAATCACAATCGCAATTTATTTGACAATATAGGTCCTTGTGTGGAAAAAATTAGGCCTTTTCTGTGGATAAATTTGTGACGGGACATACAAAAGATGCCCCATTAAATACCTAACATTCAGGATGGGCTATACAGATGTAGATAATTCTGCAGAAGATTTGGGCCCAATATACTCAAGGCTTGTACAATAAAGTGAATTGGACCATGGGAAGAAAAATGGCAATGAATGAGGCTATTTTAATACAGGGATCCTTGAAATACTACTTAACCAACTGTGTTGATTCATACCCAAATTTGTAACACACCCAGTCTTGTAAAGAAAGATAAAATTAATGAGAACTATCCTTGCTCCTCTAAAGAATTACATTTATCTCTTGGTCATAATTTTGAGTGCTATTATAAGAGGCTGCACTAAAGTCTCACAGAAAACGCACATAGGTAACTTAAAATCTTTACCAAAATATTCAATGTGAGGTTGAATCATTGTTCTCCATGCATGGATGCTAACTGATTGATTGATACAAACACACACACACATACACACACACACACACAATGTCAAGTCTTAATGCAAGGCTTGGTATGTAAAGTGCAACATTCTCCCACAAAGTCCACAATTTAGATCCTACACAATGACTTTTGTCCTACTACTATTACTATATTAAGATTTAAAATTCTTGCCTATTTAATTTATGTTATGTAAGAAACAGTATTCTTCCACTGTTGGAGCTAGTCGATGTTAGGTCTTGGTTTTCATTTCTTGAGGCACTTATCATTGCTATATTCTCAATATGGGATATAATTTGTCCTAACAACCCCATTTATTCGTATCCTTTTCATGTATTCATAATCTTGTATGTACTTATATCTATTATCTTTTACATGCTTGACAAAACAAACAAACAAATAATTTTATAACATGAACCAAAGATTTTAACTTTTTGTAGGTTCTATTGAAAAACAATTTGTTGTGTGCTGACTCTTGAAAATAACCCTAACCATAATCTAATCACTCAAATCTGCCGTCATTTACAGAATTAGCTTTCATCGAGTTTGAGCAAATACTTAGGACAGGGTTCCTTAAACCCCCAGGCCGCCGTCCACTACTGGACCATATCTATTTTGAACAGGGCCACTCAAGCGGCGCACCCTGCATGTACACCAGCCTGCCGCTTGCACAAGTGGAGCTGCACATACATGCCAGCCTGCTGCTCATGTGGCCCAGTTCTCCTCTCACTGCCCCAACCAGGCCACCAAGCCGTAAATGTTGAGGACTTAGGGAATTAAGTATTGACAAGTACAGTACTGAAAACAATCCTAGGCATGGTTGTGAGCATATACTTCTATGGTACTGCTTTACCCCTTCAATGCATTGGTTTTACTGCCATTCAGAAATGGATTATGTGTTGAGCATTTTCCAAAAATGCTTTCTATCAAATCAGAGATAAGCAACATTTGAGGGGGATTGGTAGCCACAATTAAGCATCCCAATGTTTTGAAGAAAGCCATTTGGTGTTTCTGTGATATCATTTGGAAGGAGTATGACCAAATATTTCCAATCCTATTCTAGGTGTATCAGGTCTCCCAGGTGTAAACTATTCCCAGTCCCATGTTTAAAAATCATTCCTGAAAGGCCAAAATCATGTTGCTAAAATCCGGCTCTTCAAAACCAACACCATTTCTATAGTAGAAACTCTGAGTGCTGGGGAATTGCTAAAGGAGTGCTGGGGAGGGGGGGTTTCATATAGCCACAGGCTACTGATCTTGAATTAAATATTCAGGGTGGCATGGATATTTTTAAAAACCCATATTTAGTGCAGCAATAAGAGGCCTATGAGCTGCATGTGATTTGCAGCCCCAATTCATACCTTCAGGTATGATTTCCAGTATTTTTAGTAGCTCCCCCCCAAAAAACAGTGGACAAAATTGTTAATTAATCTGCAAGGTTCAACACACACACCATTTAATCCTCCAAACTTTACAAAAGGACAACAAAAAATGAAAATTTTGGGATCATTAGATGTAATTTCTGAGTCCATAGCAAAAGAACATTGCCTATTAATGATTCAGTGAGCTTTAGTTATTAAAATGTATTATGTTTTAAACTACATCTATTTCCCCAAGCTTGGCACAGATGGAATATACTATATTGTGTACTTACTCTGTATGTTTTCAGAGACCCTGGATGCTAATTCATTGTAATCCAATGACCCATCATAGGATCTCATATAAGATCCTTTTTCACCTATTAAACTCATTTGTGATCCTTCTCTTCCAAATGTTCCAGCATAAGATTCATCTGCACGTAATCCACCATTGCTTCTGAACAAATTGCTGCTTGATTCTCCTGTGGCTAATGATGCATCATACGATAAGCCAGAACTTGTAGATCTGCCATATGTTCCTTCTGAATTTACAGAACTTCTATAATTTTCAGCCCTAAAGCTGCCATCTCCTCTTGGTCCAGGTGGTCCTGGAGGTCCAGGTGGTCCTCTGATGAAGCTACGTACATCATCACCTACAAATCATATGGTGCATATTAATAGGACTACATCAATTAACATAGATTCTGATTTTCTATAGTTTTGCAGAATTGAGAAGCTAAACAACAACAATAAAAATATACAATAGAGATCAGAAGTGAAACAATCTGCTGTATGCAGTGGATTGCTTATTTTGTAGTGATGGAAAATTGTATTGAATATAAAACATATGGAAAATCCCAGATAATTGGATAACTTCAGATGAATAAGGCCCTGCATCCTTTCTCATAACCTCTTTGTGGCTCTTCTAAACAACACCAGATTGGGGGCCTTTCAATATCTTGGAGGGAACCTCTTTCCAGAAGGCAGGTGTTGCTACAAAGAAGGCCTGCTTTCAGGGTCCTGATAGATGACACTGGAGCACAACAGCAAGATTGAATTGGCCAGGTAGCTGTTATGGGAGACAAGAAATCCCTCAAGTAACCAGGCCCTATACCATGCAATAGTTATAATCTCTGACCGTGAATCTGAAACTAAAGTGGATTTGTTGCTTATTTTCTTTATCAAGAATTCAGAGCAATACATACCATTTGTATTGGAAGGATGTTACAAATGAAAATCAAGAAGAAAGGTTACTTCCATCATCAAGATCAAGAACCGTTATGGATGTTTCAAATGTTGATACTTCAACATTTCAAAACATAAAACTACTTTTTGTGTGTTTCCCTTCATTACTCTAGAAATACTCTCAAGGACTTTTCACATGAAAATAGTAGAGGATTCTTATTCTTTTTTATGAGACAGTGGAAAAAGCATTCCACATGGTGAAATTAAGAATATTTTCTAACTCTGGTCATGCAGAATATATGTCTCTTTGTATGTATGTATGTATGTATGTATGTATGTATGTATGTATGTNTATGTTATGTTATGTTATGTTATGTTATGTTATGTTATGTTATGTTATGTTATGTTATGTTATGTTATGTTATCTTGAAGGCCACAAAGATAAAGTTTTAATAACTAAATTTAGGATAAATGCAATTGCCACATAAGAATCTAATTTGAAACCCCAAAGAACTCTGAATTCAGTCAGATCATGAACCAGGATGAAGTCCAAATCTTGAATTTTCAAGTGGAGCAAATAAAACTGTAAAAGGAGTATATGCTTACTTGTAAGGTATTGGATCAATTCACTCCTGAACTGGTCACTCCAAACTCCATACTCAGGAGAGATAACACCAGTTCCTGAAAAACCAGGTGGTCCTGGGAGGCCTCGGGGGCCTGGTGGCCCAGGGGGACCAGCACCCAAGGAATATCCCATACCTTGAAGGGAAAAGAAAACACTATTTAATTAAAAAAAGAGGCTTTTTACTTTTTACAAGAGTTAGGATGAGGTTTATTTAAGACAAGCAATTAAAGTTTTAAATTTAGCTCCCATATCTGTGTTCTGGTTCTCTCTTTCCCATGTTATGTCATGTATTTTAAAACCATAGTCATAAAGGCAATAACTCTAAAATAATTCCATTGTATTGTGGAATTTATTATATACAGTGATACCTCAGTACCTGCCGTTAATTAGTTCTGGGAGGCACGATGTGTACCAAAAACGATGAGTACCAAACAAATTTTCTCATAAGGCATAATGTAAAGAAATTTAATGTATTCCCAAACCAAAGACAGCACACATTTTAAGGCTATAGTTAAAAGATAGGGTGGTATATCATTACTTCTACATCAGAAAAAAACTAAAAATTAATAAATACTTAGATTAAGTAAAATAAAAGTCTGCAAGAGGATGTGCACAGGGCAAGATTAACACTTCACCCTTTGTTTCAGCTGGAAAGGATAGCAAGTCATGAGGCAATCGACACTGACAAGTTCTACTTATGCATTGAGTATCAAACAAATGACAAGTATTGGGACAAAATGTTCATGGCAAAATGAATTGAGTATCAAATTCAATGAGTTTCAAAGCAATTGAGTACTGATTGAGGTACCAAAGTACTATGACATCAATCATATTCTGGATTATGTCATACTGAACTCTATGAATTTACTTCTCAGTAGGCAAATATACCATGCTTTTCCAAACTTATTGCCTTAATTTTAATCAGATAGTAAACAGGGATTTCTTCACAATAATGTTATCAGAATGTGATTTTTATATTAATATTTGCTAAAAAGGTATTGAGGACTTTGGTGTAGTGGGTAAGACAGGTTAGACACTGGAAGACAGTGAGTTCTAGACATAAAACAGCTGATGGACTAGTCATTATTTTTGAGCTCCTGAAAATAGGCAAAGGTAAATTACTTCTGAAATTGTGCCTTGAAAATTGGAGGGACTAGTCCAGATAGTTTCTAGAAGTCAAAAACTAACTAGAAAGCACATACACAAAAGGATTTTTTCCTTAAATAATATCACAACATTTTTAATACTGATTTCATTTTTTAAAATTATCTTGAAATGTTTTGATTCAGTTTGGAGGGGATAAGGAAAATCAAGATGCGGTTTTACTAGTTCCATCTAAGCATAATTTCTAGGGGGGGGGAATAAATTATCACTTGAAATAATAATAATATGGAATATTAGTTTGCGCCATGACAGTCATAATTTTTAGAAAGTTAGATCTGGCCTAAAACACATATCAATGTAGTTCTGTTAGCAGTTTTTACCTTTTTAAAAATGTAGGTGAAACCCAAGTAGACTTTCTGACTGATTCGTCCACTGTGCTATTTGGTCATTTTAACCATTCAAATTTTGTGCTATCACCATCCCTACATTATCTTATCTGCCCTGTAAAGTTACAGAAAATTTTCCTCTTCAGAAGCCTTATCTCATATCATCTAAATTCAGCATTTTTCAAAATTGGCAACTTTTAAGATGGGTAGACTTCAGCTTCCAGAATTCCCTCAGCGAATTTTAATTCTTTTTCTTTTAATTCTTTTGAATCAGAAGTACTGATCTGATGGACCACATTAAATCCGAGAATTCAAAATCTTGATTTCAAAAACACTAGTGCAACTTCTAGAATTTTCTGGATGGGGAATTTTAGACATTGAAATTGCCAATTTGAAAAAAACTGATCTAGCCAACCAAACACAATCTGTATCAACTTCTCTTACTTTGTAGATATGTGGAGATATCCTCTGCAGTAAGGGTGGAAACAGAGCTACCTGATCTTCCTGGGGGGCCTGGAGGCCCAGGTGGCCCCACAATGCCTCTGAATTCTGAATCTGAAATTATAAAGGAAGCAAATAAATAATACTAGCACCTGATTTACTGCTTTTCCTGCTATCTTCTCCAGCCCACATATAAGCACACCACTTCATACTCATTTACATATCCACCAGGTCAAAATCACTGTTGCCTAGAGATAAAAACACCCCTCTGCAGTCCCATTCAATTATCTAACTATAGGGTAAGGGATAGACAAACTTTTGCTGTGTTTTTTTTTAATGGTCTTAATAATGATAGTGCAAAATGAATAAAGCTGTCTCATACACAAATGGGACTTTTCATTTTTTTTAATTTATATTTTTTTTTGCTGCTTTAGAGTTAGAGATTATTTTAGCACCTATACTATAGCAGTTGTGTTTCTGATGCCAACTTGTAGAACTCTGCTGCCAATTTGGGTCACTGTGCCAACAAAATTAAGCAGTCTGATCAGAAAGGTTTTGGAGTTTTTCATTTAAGGAAGTGAGGATAGAACAGAAGAATCAACTACATCTATTACATGGTGAATATTTTAGGACTTCACATTCAAGACCTGATGCTGAGGTTATGGAACCTGTAAGAATGTATACCATGCTGGAAATGCCATATCTGATAACATTTTTATAGTTCATTCACATATGTCCCTGTGCTGTTCCCATTTTCTTCTGTCGTGAGTAATAGGGTTAAATACTTCACTTATTCTCTGGCAATATTTTATATAGCTATGAGATGGAGCTGAATTTTCTGCTGCCTGCTTCAATTACAGTAACAGAAACCTAGATGTTTGAAATGTAGAGAAAGAATCCAAGATGGCAAATTCAAGGTGAGTGATAATGGACCTGTAATTGTAAGGAAATTGAGAGAGGAAATCTTAATATGCAGGTCCTTCAGCTGTTCAACTATGAGGATGACTTTTTTAGGATGGTATGAATGGATGACAAGGCTCACCTTGAAGCAAAGTTAAGATATCACCATAAGATGTTCCTGGCAGACCAGGAGGACCAGGTGGTCCAGGAAGTCCAATAGTAGTTCCAGAACCTAAAAAAATTAATGAAAGTTGAGTTATGAAATCATGTAAGAAAACTGGAAAGAACCATGTTATATATTTCCTCAGAAAATATATGCATCTAATGTTCATATTGATTTAATCATAGAGTATGGACAAAAGATACAAATTAGTTTCAGGAGCATCTTATTCTTACCAAAAACAATTTGGCTAAAAAAAGCTTTCACATCAGACTTTTATGATACTGAAATGATTATAGGAATAAACTAAAATCTCAAATCCTCTTAACAATTTCCTCCTACCCTACCTATTCTATTTTTGCAGGAATTGGGTTTCTCTAGTCTAATGAAAAGAAGGACTAGGGATGACACGATCACAGCGTTCCAATATTTGAGGGGCTGCCACAAAGATGAAGAGGTCAACCTATTTTCCAAAGCACCAGAAGGCAAGAAAAGAAACAATGGATGGAAATTAATCAAGGAGAGAAGCAACCTAGTCCTTCTTTTCATT